ACTGGTGCCCTTCCGTCAGGAGACCTGCTGTGCAGTTCTTGGGATGATGTGCCCCTGTCCACGGCCTGAACCTGCTTTCCTTCCCAACCTTGGTTACCACCATGTGTAATCCTCCTCTCCATTCGCTGAGTACCACTCACCATGCAGCTGCAACATCTTCGTCCTCATCTGCCTCATCTGCCGCATCCCCACCTGCCTGCCTCGCCAACAACTGCCCGCTAGTGGTGGAGCCACGAGTATGAGAACCAGGCCAGGTTCCTAGGAACCTCAAAGCCTGTATATTCTCACTCTCATGTCATCACAGAGAGAGCAGCACTGGGAATCTTTCCAGCTTTTATTTATTTATTTAATTATTATTATTTTTTTGCCGTACACGGGCCTCTCACTGTCGTGGTCTCTCCCGTTGCGGAGCACAGGCTCCGGACGCGCAGGCTCAGCGGCCATGGCTCACGGGCCCAGCCGCTCCGCGGCATGTGGGATCTTCCCGGACCGGGGCGCAAACCCGTGTCCTCTGCACCGGCAGGCGGACTCTCATCCACTGCGCCACCAGGGAAGCCCCAGCTTTTATTTTAACAAAGGAGAAATTGAGGGATGTCTGAATGGAACCCGGGTTTCCAGACCCCCAGTTCCTTCCCCCATTCCAGCATCAGACCTGGAACTCAGAAGTCAGCCTTCCTCATCCTCCTTGGGGCCCCACTTCCCCTGCTGCCTTGGTCTTACTCCCCTCAATTGTAATCTCCCCGTCCTGAGGAGCCACGTGAATCTTGGGAAAGGTGGGGGATGGTGGAGGGAGCAGGAAGGTAGGAAAGGTCGTGACGAGGAAGTGATGTGATGACTCCTGACTTCCCTTTCCTAGACACAAGACGATGAGGGGAAAATGCTGGTGTCACAACGGTTTACCGCTCAGGGCCCTCAGGTTCAGCCGGCTCTTGTGCTCTCTGGCCACAGCCTATCGTCAGTCCTGCCCCAGCCCTCCCTGGCTCCGTCTCCCCTGGCTGCGTGGGCAGCACCTGCGGGACAAAGCTGGAGCTCTTGTGGATGACAGCAATCAGCCACACTCCCCCTCCTTCCCCTTCTCCCCCAGCCTGCGCTGGAGTTTCTCCTGCCAAAAGCATGTCCACCTTGAGCTGTTTCCTTCTCTCCTCCATCCCTCATCTTTGTGGTACTTCTGGACACTAGGGTAGTTTGTTTGGTTTTTTTTAGCTTTAAAAATAGTTTAGGGGCTTCCCTGGTGGCGCAGTGCTTGAGAGTCCGCCTGCCGATGCAGGGGACGCGGGTTCGTGCCCCGGTCCGGGAGGATCCCACATGCCGCGGAGCGGCTGGGCCCGTGAGCCATGGCCGCTGAGCCCGCGCGTCCGGAGCCTGTGCTCCGCAGCGGGACAGGCCACAACAGTGAGAGGCCCGCGTACCGCAAAAAAAAAAAAAAAAATTTTAAAAATAGTTTATTTCCCTCTTCACCAACAAAGACATGCACCTTCTGACCATTATTCAAGGCATCACAAATTCCATAAAAACGTAACATTAATGTATTTGTCTTACATGATTCAAGATAAAGTGGATTTTAAAAGCAAACGGGTGCCAGTTACGGGGGCCAGGAGGGGACTAGGGCAGGTACCAGTAATACAGGGCATGCGTTTTTCTAGAGTGTTTATTGAAAGCGGCAGTAATCTGCACACTTGCATCGTATGAGTAGTTATACAAAATTAGCACATCCAGGAGAGGTGCTCCTAGTTTCTCTGTCCCAGGTTGATCAGACTGGTAGAGAAGAGAGTTCCAGTTGCCTCACTTTCATTACTGAGCTTATCAGGTGAAGTGACTTTTGCCCAAGTTATCATGAACTTACAGAACCAGCTTGGAAGCCAGGTCTTCTGTGACACATGGGGCTGGGATGTCAGGGGCTGGAACCCATGTCGCCCCGACTGAGTGTTCAGTGCCCTTTTGATGACTCTACTACTGTGGGGCCTGTGTGTGTGTGAGTCTCTGTGTGTGTGACACGTGATGGAGAGATGGGGCTCTGTTATCTAAAGCTCTTTATACTCTTTATCCTTTGCTTCATGAGCGCTAACAGCCAATCCTAGTTTGCCCCTGTCCTATTTCTCCAGCTCTCCCATTGTCTCCCTTGCCATGATTTCTTCTTCCCCTGGAGGGATTATGCTCATATACTCTCACCTCTTCCAAGAGACTGGTTAGCTGTTCATACCCCTAGATCCATGCACCTCTCACCATCTTCTTTTTTTTTTTTTTTTTTTTTTTGGGT